AAACCACACACACACACACACACACACGCCCCCGCGCTGACATAAACACACACCCCGAACTCGGAGACTCCCGCGCCTCTGCTGGAAAAGGAGAGCCACCCCCGGCGGCCAGCTTCTCCCCGGCTTGGCGGCCGACGGAGCCTGAGCCGCCCCCCTCGGCGCCGCCTGCAGCAACCTCCTTAAGCCCGGCCAAAACGCACCCGCCTCGCGTTGCCCCCGGTTGGAAAGTCCCCGATGCGTTGCCCCGGCTGGCTCTCTCCTCTCTCTCCTTCTTCTCTTCCCCCCCCTCCGCACTTCCTCTCCCGCCCTCCTCCTAGCCCAGGCTGGAAATCCCCGGCGCGCCGCGTTGCTGCCTCCCCGCTCGCTCGCTCGCTCTCCCTCTGCCGGCTCTTTCTACAAAGGGTGCAAAACAGGCAGGCGCGGCTCTCTAGACGGGCTCCTCGTCTCAGGCGAGGCGGGAGAAAGGGGACGGGCCTCCTCCGCGAAGCTCCTTCTGCCCACCTCTCTCGCGCGCGCTCTCTCGCTCTCTCTTTCCCCTTCCCCTCTGGCTGGCTGGCTGCCTTGCTCCCTCCTTTGCTTTCTCTCACCCACCCACCCCCGACTGGCTGGCCGGCCGGCCGGCCGGCCTGCCAGGCCAGCAGAGGAGGAGGAGAAGGGAGAGGAGCCTCCTCCTCCTCCGCCTTCTTCAATCAACTCTCGGAAGCCTGGCGGAGAGGGAGGGGTAGGGGTAGGGGGGGGGAAAGGGCGAGAACCAAGCCCCCCCCGTCTCTCCCCAACCCGGATCTCTTCGCTTCCCCGCCGTGGTGGCCCCTTACCCTTTCCTTGGCACCGGGAGCCAAATGCGCCCGCCCGCCGGAGCTTTTCGCCTGTTGCGTGTGTCACCGTGCTAAAAAAAAAAATTGTACATCTGAGCGTGTGCAGAGTGCTGCTCGGCTCTTTTCCGCATGGCCACAGCCTCGTCAGCTTCAGGGCGCCTCTCAGGCTTCCTTCTGAGCGGTAGGAAGACTTTTCCGAAAGCTCGCTGTGTTAGGATGTCAATGCAAAAGCAAAGCAAAGAGGCAGAGAAGAGCAGACTTTGCTCTTGTAGTAAGTAGAACGGCCCCATTTGCAGCCTGAACTTTGGTGGACCACCGCCGATCCTATAGATATAGTACGTTTGTGTTAAGGTGCTGCTTAAATGTTTGCTTCCTGACAGATCACTCTTCCACAATAAGGTAATTGGGGAATCACAACAATTTCTTTTCCACAAAGGATGTGAGGAGCGAGATAAAATAGACATTTTTCCCTTTGTGTGTGTGTGTGTGAGAGAGAGAGAGTTTGTGAAAGGTGCACCATTTTTAAAACTCAGAATTTTAAAACTTAAGTTGTGCTCAAAGGCTTACTAAGGCACAGTGTAGGGTTACTTATATACTTATATATATACTTATATATACAAATACAATATTTGGCGGAACGCCTGCTCCCACCAAGGTCTACCCGGATCACCTGTGCGAGTCAGGAGGTGAGGCTGAGGAGCCTGACGCTGAGAGAGGCCCGGAAGGAAAAGACACGAAACCGGGCCTTCTCAGCAGTGGCTCCTCGCCTCTGGAACAACCTCCCTTCAGAGATTTGTGCGGCCCCTACGCTGGGAATCTTTAAAACCCAATTTAAAACATGGTTGTACATCCAGGCCAGCTCTCTCTTTTTTAAAAAAAAGATGGGCTAATAAAAAACAAAATATACAGCTAAAATGACAGCAACATGACAGGCAGCATTCTTAAATAATTTCCTTGTTGCTATGTGCCCTCGAGTCATTACTGACTTATGGCCACCCTATGAGTTAGTGATCTCCCATAGGCCATGTTGCTATCAGGCCTGCTCAGGTTTTGCAGACTGAAGCCCATGGCTTCTTGTATGGAGTTACTCCGTCTCACTTTTGGTCTTCTTTTCCTACTGCCGTCTACTCTTCTCAGCCATCCTATTCCATTGGGTCTTGTCATGATAGTAGTTGGGGGTCATATAATTTCTGTAAAAATGGTCTGAACTTCAGCCGCTGAGTGGAATCCCTACCCCTAAGGTGAAACTCTTAAGAGCTTGTCAAATCATTTGATTTTAATTTTTTTTATTTTCTTATTATTATTTATAAAATCCATCCATGCTTATTTAACATCATGTCTCCTGTGCTCAGCTTATAATCATTTGTTAATACAAGTACAATACATATTAATCTATACAACGTGCTTCTAACCATTGATAAAACAAGTTCCATGGTTGATAATATTCTGCATCTTCCTTTCCTTTGATTTTCAGTGTCAGTTTATCCATTTCGGTACAGTTCAATATCTTTTTCATTATTTCTTGATATATAGGTGTTTCTTCATTTTTCCAGAATTGTGGAAATATAATCCTTGCGGCTGTTAAAATTTGCCATATTAAATATACATATTATTTATCAACACTTTCTGGTATTATGCCTAATAGAAAGAGTTCTGGCTTAAAATCTACATTTTTTAATTATTATTTTAACAAGCCATATATGATTTTTTCCAAAAAAAATTGCTTTATCACAAATCCACCAAAGGTGATAATAAACTCCAGGTTTTTTTATGACATTTCTAGCATTTACTTGACCTATTAGAGAACATTTTAGCTAATCTATCGGGTGGTAAATGCCATCTATAAAACATTTTATATAAATTCTCTTTATAAGATGTTGCCATTGTCATTTTATAGTTTCTAGACCACAGTTTTTGCCATTTTTCAAAGTCAGTATTATATCCAAAGTTTTTTTGCCCATGGAACCATGGTTTCTTTGACCTGTTCGTCCTCCATTTTCCAATTTAAAAGAAATTTATATATTTTCCTAATCAATTTATCATCTGATGTTAACATTATTTGGTCAAACGTTGTCTGTTCTTTATAAAAATCGTACATTTTCGAATGTATGATTTCAAATTCATTTTTGAATTTGCTGTCCTCTGAAGATGCCGGCCACAGAGACTAACGAAATGTTAGGAAGAACAACCTTCAGAATACGGCCAAAGAGCCCGAAAAACCTACAACAACCATTAGATCCCGGATGTGAAAGCCTTTGTGAATACATTTTTAATCCCTTTCATACCTAGATTGTATTTGCATTATGGGCCACCGTGATGTGTCTAATCCCTGGTCTATAAGGTCTAAAGTCAGAGATTTTAGATCCCCATGGCCCACTATGGTCTCACAACACCTCCAAATTGGTCCCTCTGAGTTATGGGGCCACTCCTAGCCATGCAGACCAATAGGAAGAGGTTTGATGGATTTGCCTTGAAATAGGAGGCCATTTTACTTGCCCAAGCAGGTACTGGGGAGAGTATGCCTGGACCTCCAAATAACCTCAACTCCCCACAGTCTCCCCAGTGCATGCCTGGGCAAGTAAAATGGCCACCTATTTCAAGGCAAGACCATCAAATCTCTTCCTTTTGGTCTGCATAGCTGGGAGCAGCCCGGTAACTCTGGGACCAATCCGGAGGAGTGTAGTAAGACCACGGGGACCCTGGGGATCTAAAACCTCCACCTATTGGTCCATGGTGACCTCACAGGCTCTTAGAGCACACCACATGTCCCCCCCCTGCGCCTGACGTTTCACCTTAGGGCTACCCAGGGACTACAGTTCAGGCCATAAATCATGTTGACAGAAGCTATATGTCCCTACTACTCATGATATATTTTCATAATTGGATTAAGATACATCTTCATTTCATTGTTGCACAAATACTTTGATGTTTTTAAACAATGAGCAAAATGGCATTTTAGAATAAAACATTTTAAATTGTTTAAACAGAGAGAGAGAAAGATAATGGCAATGTGTAGCAGACCCAAAATAACAGCAGAGGCATGCCAAATAGTCTTTGGATCACATGCACACTTCAGGCCTCTATTTTTGTTTTTTGTTTTTTAAATGCCTGTTGAAAAGATCCACACTTGCAGAAATTTCACTGCTGTCTCCTTCTTTCCCCAAAAGTTAGACTTTTAAAACACGAAGCCTGTGCGCTCGTTTTAAGTCTGATCAAATAAGCTTGACTCAGTTGTTTGAGGTTGAGATGAATGCCAAATTGCCAGATTCACTTCCAGAGTAAGCCAAAGTAAACTCCCAAATCACCTTGTGTCTGGATTACAAATTAAAAAGAATGGGACACAAATTGCTTCATCGTACTAATTTATTCTGAAGCAAACTTTAGATGTGTCTAGTGTGCAGTCCCCTTGAAGCTTGCGATCTGATATTTGACAGGTTCACTGCCTTCTTTCAAGTACTGTATATAATGTCTCCAAATTTCCTATACATTCATGCATATACCAAAGGAAGTTATAGCTGTTTTGGGTTTTTCAATTTATAAATTTATTTGGATCAGGGAACAGACTGAACCAAGCTAGCGTACATTCAGAAGTGCTGAATTTGGATACATATTTGATTCATGATCTTCCGATTAAGTACCAAGACCTCAAGATAAAAACTTGGAGAACCGAGCCCACCCTTAAAAGTGAGTAGATTCCCCACCCCCAATTAAGAACTGCTGAACGCTTTGTCTTCTCCCAAAAGGAAAACAGAAGTCAACCTTGTGTAAGTAGAATAAGAGAG